GGCCCGGGAGACAGCTCAGAGTATTACAGTGCATTTCTGGCATGCATGGGGGGCATTTCAGTCCCTGATACCACATGACCACCTGTGCACTGCCAGGTGTAGCCCTGGGTGTACCCTCACACCACAGGGGAGGCCCCACCCTCCAAACTCTTCCCCCCAAAATCAAAAGGGTTGGGGTTTGGCTCTCCAGTCCTCCCTGCAACCTATGGCTGCTGCAGTAGGCATTTCCTGTTCCTGTTGCCCTTACTCAAATGGCCCTGGTGGGAGAATGGCCCTTGAGTGTGTTCTGGGTTCCAGAAAGCCTCTAGACCATCCCATTTATCTACAGGAAGATCAAATTGCTTTTGAATTTGGATGACTTTGTTTCCCTGAATGGAGATTACAGGGTGTGCTTTTGTAGGAGGTTGTTGTTCTGTGGATCTTCTCGGACTAAGAGCCGAGCCTCCCCCTCTGCACACCAGCTTCCATTCACTGGAGCCAACATTTGTGTGGAAGCTAATTAAGTACTCCTCTGGGCTTCCCTAGAATGAACCCCAACTTTTCTCAGAATCTTCTTCAGAGGCTTGCCTTTTTATTTTTTTATTTTAATTTGCGTGGGAGCATATATATACATATGTATATATATATATAACTAAAATGAGTAGTTTTATTAGTATTTTATTTAAAAAACTCTTGGTTTGTTTTGGAGCCACACCTGGTGGTGCTCAGGGGTAACTCCTGTCTCTGCACTCAGGAGTCACTCCCAGGAGTGCTCAGGGGACCATATGGGATGCCGGAGATTGAACCTACGGTGGCTGCATGCAAAGCAAGTGCCTTACCCTTTGTACTGTTGCACTGTATCCCTGGCCCCTCAAATGAGTAGTTTTAAAGTAGAGGCGCCTCCCTGATCTCAGTCATGAGCATACGGGCTCTACAGGGAAATCTGAAGATCCATGTTTGCAGTATATATCCATATTCTTCCAAACCACATATGGTTTTGTGGTGTATGCGCTTTGGAAGCTGCATTTTTGTTTGTTTGTTTGTTTTTGTTTGGTAGGGACACACCTGATGTATGCAGGGCTAAGTCCTGGCACTGTGCTCAGGGATCACTCCTGGCACTGCTCAGGGAGCCAAATGAAATATCCGGGATGTCCATTGAGCCTCAGTTAGTCACTTGCAAGGTGGACTGTACCTCTTGGACCCTGAAAACTGGATGGGGCATACCCAGCTTTGTCCAGGACTGAGCCACTGTGCCATATCTCTCCAGCTCCAGAGGCTTAATTTTAAGATACGAAAGTCATTTGCTGAGCGTGAAGCAGCAGAAAGCTGGTTGTTTGAGGGGGTGATCTTGCAATTTGGAGTTAGGTAGATTAGAATTCTTCCCCCCCCTCCCCCACTATGATAGCACAGCAGGTAGGGCATTTGCCTTGCACGCTGCAGACCTGGCTGACCCAGGTTCGATTCCTCCATTCCTCTCAGAGAGCCCGGCAAGCTACTGAGAGTATCTCGCCAGAACGGCGAAGCCTGGCAAGCTACCCATGATGTATTCGATATGCCAAACACAGTAATAAGTGTCTCAATGGAGACATTACTGTGCCTGCTCGAGCAAATCAATGAACAACAGGAGGACAGTGACAGAACAGGATACTGACTACTACCCACATGACTTTGAATGTTCTCTGTTCTTCTCTGTAAAAAGACATGTCCCAGAGCTTGTTTGTGAGGAATAAAAATAAGAATGCTGGGAATGGAGCAATAGTACAGCAGGTAGAGCATTTGCCTTACAGGCAGCTGACCCAGATTCAGTCCCTGGCATCCCTGAACCTGACAGGAGTGATTCCTGAGTACAGAGCCAGGGGTAAGCCCTGAGCACAAAGGTGTGTGGTTCCAAAACAAAACAAAATAAATGCTGGGACTAGAGAGTTTGCTCAAAGAACTGAGCACGTGCTTTGCATACGGGAAACCTGGGTATGATCCCTGAGACTGCTTGGACCCCAGAACACTTCCAGGTGTGACCTCGAACAGATAAATGAAAAGATAATTCTGTAAGACCTAGTGCCTGATTAGGTTCTCAGAAAATAACTGTTAGTGTCTTGTCACCAGCAGCAGCAGGCTCCTAAAGCCCTGAATTGAGGGTTGTGTGTGTGTGTCTTTTTTTTTTTTTAAAGAAGCAGCACTTAGAAGTTGTGGGGAATGGGCCTTATTTTAAGGACACAGACTCAGGGGATTATAGAGAACTATCTTTTGGAATAAAATCAGCAGTCAAAGGCACAAATAATGTCCACTGTGTCCAGTCTTCAAAGAAGAGCCTTTCAAATCTCAGGCTAGAGGGGAAGCGGATGAGGAAATTCACTTGATGGGAGATATTCCCGTCTGTTCTCAGTGGTAAGCCTTTCCCTTTCCTCCCTCTGTTGCCTCATTTTCCTTTTTGCATTTTCCTTTTTGGAACAGTGTCCTTTCTGCAGAGTTGTGCTGCTTGCCAATTCCACCCTTCTGCCCCCTCTCCCCCCCTCCCTTTTTCTGATGTGCCCAGCCATGTCCCAGGCCCTGTGTAGGGCTCTCTGTGAGGCTGGGAAGGAGGCAGTCTCTGTTTGAGAGGACTCAGACCTTATAACTGGGTAATTTAGCTGCCACTGTCCACAAGTGCTCTGCCCCGCGGAGGCCCAGGAGGCTGGGAGAGCATCAAGTGATGGTATGTGAGCCCAGAGATATTGCCCTTGGCACGGCGAGGTGTGTGTGTGTGTGTGTGTGTGTGTGTGTGTGTGTGTGTGTGTGTGTAGGGGGGGTGAAGGGTGGGGGTGGATTTCTAGGGGGGTGTTTTTATTATCTTTTGATGGCACAGAAATACTCTTTTTAGCCTTCTTTTTCAAAAGTAAGATCTTCACTTTTTTCTTTATCCCTGATTAGGGACTAGTTATGGTGGTTTCTTAGTCCCTTGGAGTGAAATCATCTAAATAGTAGCTGTTTTCCTTTCATTAACTGGGTATAAATGAGTTAGTTTTCCCCCAGTAGCTATTAACATTCCCAGCATCCCATCTTCAGGAATAAGGGAGTGGACATAATAATGTAATCAACTCTTAATAAATTGGTGTTATTTTTCTCGGAGGAGACAGTTCTTGTTATTGGAAAGGTAAGCTTTTCAAGAATGCCTTAGAATTGCAGCTAGAAGTTTCTGTGAGTTAGTCGAGTTAGTGACTTTTCTTATCAAAGCTCGGAGAGCCTGGCAAGCTACCGAGAGTATTCGATATGCCAGACACAGTAACAACAAAGTCTCCAATGGAGACGTTACTGGGCCCGCTCGAGCAAATCAAAGCTCCTTAATTGATACTAATGTCACCGCCCTGTGAAAATACTAGTGCTGGGGCTAGAAATAGTTCTGGGAGAAAGGAGCTTGCTTTGCATGTGTTGACTAAGGGTTCAATTCCCAGGGCCACATATGGCCCCCCAAGCCCTCCAGGAGTGATCCCTGAGCACAGAGCCAGGGGTAAGACTGAGTGCAACTGAGTGTTGCCCCCAAAACAAAAAATAAAAAAAATGCAAGTGCCATTGGGGCACTACGAACAGTGATATTCCTTTGTGTCTGTGAGCTCTTCTCCCCGTGTAGTCAAGGCTTTAGGCAGTAACTAGGTGCTAGGTTATCCACTGTGGAACAAGCAAATTGATTCCCAACAATAAAACAATGGGGCCTGGTCCTTAAATAATACTCCTATGTGTTCAGAACTGTAACAGAGGAATACATATAGAGGAAAGAGAGCTGAAAATTTGCAGAACAATTCCACTTAATGAAGTGGAATTTTAGGGAGAGATGGAAAATGGAGGGGTGGAAGAGGGAGGGGTGGAAGAGGGAGGGAGGGGGAAAGAGAGAGACAGAGAAAAAGAGAATATGAATTTGAAGGGTGGGTAGTTAGGAATAGGAAGGACAAACAGTATGCTTGAATTCATCCCAAAAAACCAGTGAGAGGGAAAAGATCTGTAAAGAATGTAAATAGTTAGTGGTAATATAGAAAGGCTCATGGGGATATTTTGAAGAGTAAGACAAGACTAAAGGAAGATTAGAACCATAAACTGGTTAGACCAGATTTTGAGGATTGCTTAAGTGGGGTTGAAAACAGAGCCAAAATAGTAATCCCGGGGAAATATTAAGAGGTAAGAAGTGGCCCCAGGAAGTTGTGTCAGGGGGAGGCTGTGACAACTAGGGGGAGCATGATGATCGAGAAGTTATTGGAGGAAAGGAATATCGGGAAAGGTTGCCACTGACTAGTGAGAGTAAGAAGGACATTGAGAAGTGTGTTTGGTATCTAAATGTGGACCCACCACAAGGCAGCATTACAGGTGGCAGAAGATATAGGAGACTTGTGCACCCGTGGAGGGATGGGTGTTTGATCATTGTATGACTGAAACTCAAACATGAAAGCTTGTAACTGTATCTCACAGTAATTTAATAATTTAAAAAAAAGGATATAGGAGACTGGAGAGAAGTGGTGAGCAGAGGAAGTGAGGCCAGGGTGTCCCTCAAGGAAGAGCATTTCCAAGATGACTGTTCAGGGTGTGCAGTGAGACCTGTGACCATGTAACAAAGCAATGGTTGGGTTCCTGGTGGAGTTGGAAGAGAACACGTCTGTGGCTGAATGAGAAAGAGAAAGGGAGGCTGGAATGGTGGAGAGCTTCGTTTGAAAGTCCTTGTGCCCTGGCCTTCTGCTTGTTCCGAATGGCGGCCACCTTAGAGCTTATGGCAGTGTCACAAGCCTTCAACTCCTGATCAGGGTGATCTCTGACCACAGTGCCCCTTCTTCACGGTCCTGGACGTGACAAAGCCCTCCATTGTTACTTTTATTGGAGAGTGACTTTGGACTGAGGCTTAAAACAGTCAGGTGTGGCAAGGATACCTGTGAGCATGCAGGCCAAGTCAGCGTGGTTCCCGGTCCTTCCTGTAAGTGGGGGACCCTGTCACTTGAAATAGGATTGATTTGCTCTCTGCCTATCAAATCTTTGAACCTGTGTTTTCTGCTACTGTTTTTCAGAATCATTTGCTGTTTCAAATAGAGAACTGTGCGATGATGAGAAAGAGTTCATACATTTTCCAGTATCTGAGGGGACCTCTCAACCTGAACCCTCATGTTCAGCTGTCAGGATAACAGCCAATAAAAACTACAGGAGCAAAACCGCTCAGGAAGGTGCTTTTAAAAAGATGCATGAGGAAGAACATCATCAACAAATGTCCATCTTACAACTGCAGCTGATACAAATGAATGAGGTGCATGTGGCCAAACTCCAGCAGATAGAGCGAGAGTGTGAGATGGCAGAGGAGGAACACAGGATAAAAATGGAAGTTCTCAATAAAAAGAAGATGTATTGGGAAAGAAAACTACAAACTTTTACCAAGGAATGGCCTGTTTCCTCATTTAACCGGCCCTTTCCCAATTCACCCTAAGACTTTTGGGGGTGGGGGGCCCTTGTAATTAATCCGCTGGCAAAGAAAGTCTGGATCCTGAACTTGCGGTCAGTAACCTGTAACTGGAACTACAACTAGGAAAAATAGAGTGGTAGTAGTCACTTATTTAAGAATACATTCAGGTAAACAGCTACATCTATGTACCCTTTATGTGGCAAAGAAGCTGTTAGAGTCTTCTGAAAAGTCTCACTGAGCACTCTCATTCTGAATGAAATGTCTTTTAATTAGAATTCATACAGGTACCATGTTTGAGTGTTTTTTTTTTAATCAAATGCAAGTGTGACTCTAAAGAAGTGTGGCTGATCTCTTTATTCTTATTTTAAACCAGCCATCAGGACCTTTCTCTCCCCCATGAGTGCCCTCCTGTTGAACATGGCTCTCCTAAGAAGCCACAGGGTTCCCAGGCCAAACTGTTGCTCAGAACTTCTTCCAGGTCATGGGGTGACCTCTGTGGGAACCACAGAATCTTTTCCACTTTTTCTGTGTTCCTGTTTTCCTCCGAGTGAGAAGTTTCTGTTTGTCAGCAGCCCACCATTTGGAAGCAGAGGCTCATAACTGCCTCTGTAGGCCTTTCTCTAAGGAGGATTGCAAATAATGTCTCCAATAGTGGGATCTTTCTTGGGATGTAAGAATCTGTGTCACTAGCTGGAGGGAGACATGTTCATTTAGAGTTCTGCATTCTGTCACTTTTGTTGTACTAAAACAAAATACTTGGAATTCGATAGTCACAACTATGTGTGTTTCTCAAAGGTGCTCGGTCCACCCCTGTGCTCCAATTTTGGCCTTCTCTGGACTTTCTTCCCAATTTTGTACTACCAAGTCAGTAGTTTTCCCTCTTTTTAATCTCGGGTCAGCTAAGGAAAGGCTTTTCCTTCTCCATGCTCATGGTGCTAGCTCATAGTAATGCTCTGTATTTTGCATTACATAGTTAGTATTGGGCATTTAAAGGATGCATTACCAGGGTTGGAGAGAAAGCACAGTGGGTAAGGCACTTGCCTTGTATGCAGTGGACCCAGGATTATCCCCAGCACTATTTATGGTCTCATAGTCCCCAAAATCATGCCAGGAGTGATCCCTGAGCTCAGAGCCAGTTACAAATCCTGAGCACAGCTTATAGTGACCCCCCTCTCCCAAATAAATGGACGGCATTGCTAACGTTATAAGTAGTAGATGAATATTTGAGCTGTGACATTCTCCTGTAGCCCACCATTAAGAACAGCCCTGGGAGCTGGGCATAGCAGAGGCTGAAAAAGCAGTGTCACACTTAAGTGCCAAGACAGGCTAACAATTTCTGAGAATGAAATTTCTAGGCCAGGTACTAAGGAAAGCAGTCTATAGAAAAGATTCAGGACTAGGCACCAAGGCCTGAATTCTGAATTTGGTTTTTTTCGTAAGACACCCTTTGACCTTGGCAACTCCTTTTTCTCCTTGACCATGATGTTTTCTGCCCACAAAACAAGAAAATTGGTCTAGAAAATGTTCAGATTCTATTACCACTTCTTGCCAATGATGTGATGTTCATTGTCTTGTATGGGTACTTTGAAGTTCTGATTACCCAATGGCATGGGCCAATACAGAGCAGTTTAGCACATCAGAGAAGCCTTTTTCCTTCCTAATATAAAATTTGGGTCCTGTGAACTGTAACTTCAGAAAGGCATACCTAAGTTCATTAGTTATGTGCTGTATAAAACTGAAATGAATATCAAATTATTTTATACCTGGATCACATTTTCAGAGGAGTTGGCTATTTGAAGCAATCCTGTGAAGGTTAGTTTTTAAAAGCAAGAATTCCTTAGTAAGGATTTATGTTCCTAATCTGGATCCTGTAGAGAAGTTTTGAGCTTAAATGGTTTGTGGGAAGCAGAACCTGACAGTCCTACCTCGTCCGGATTAGGGCAGAACAACAACCCTCAACGCAGATGTGAACTAAGAACAGTTTGCTTCTCTTTGGTCTATTGAAAATCTCATCAATATATGCAGTCTCGAGTGGGGCCTGAGATTTTTCTATTCCTTAAAAGTGCCAAGGTCAGAATAGTTCTTATTTGGTCCCAGCACTTCTGTGTAGCTAACAAGGTTTTAGAAGAGCCTGTGAAGTCTTACTTAACATTTTCAAAAAATTAGGGACGGGGAAGGTACATGTTTGTGTCTAACAGAGTGCCTCCTATTATTCTTGCTTAAACAATTTACCACTTAAGCATACAAACAGCAATGTAGAACAACACTCACACAAAAATGTTCATACATATAATGGTACTATAAAAAGCATTGAACTAATTCCTAACTGAGCAAATAAAGGATAATTAAACCAGCAGCCTAAAGCATCTTGCCCTACTGTTAATGGTATTTATGAGTTTATAGCAGTAGTTTTCAGCATTGGCTATGCATTAGAAACAGTATTTTATAAATAATCATGCCCGCTGTGTCCAATTTGCAGAGGGTTCTGATTTTCTTGCCCTGGGTTGGGGTTCTCTTTTTCAGCTCTCTAGGAATTTAGGATGTTTAATTTGTATTGAGAATTGCTGATGGGAGTTCAGAAATGGGTTGCATTTGATCCTAACCCTGCAAGGTCAGGCAGGTATGAGGAAATGATGCTTAGAGAAAAACTTGGGGTCAGACTGGGAGCTGGTGATGACAGTGCAGTTCCTGAGTCCCAGGTCTGTTGACTCCAGGACACACAGCTCTACATACTTTCCCTCACTCCAACCTTGAAATGATCTCATAGCTCTGTTTGATCCTGACAGCCAGGTCACTTCTCCAGGGCGCTTAAAGTGAAGTCTCTCTTCATGAACAGGACATCCTGATTTAACTTTTGCAGCTATTTCTTATCCAGGTTAACACTATGTCTTGATAGATGTTGTAGGGAATAAAAAACAATCGTTACAGTTCACCATCTTTCAATCTTCCAGATCATGGCCACAGCCCAGTATGAGGGGTAAGGTTCTATACACTTATCAATTCTAGACAAGTATATGTCTTCAAGTGCATTTGGAACTCAGATCAGAGAACTTAGAGGACAAGACAGGCTCCCAGGAGAAGTGGCATTTGAGCAAAGACTTGAGGGTGGCAGATGGAGATTCAGAAAGGGGAATAATGTAAGCAGATACGAGGACCTATTAAGATTCAGGATGATGAGATAATGCCAGTGATGATGTGGCTCAAGTGATAACGAACAGGGCCCAGAGTGTAGGGGGGCCATGGGTTTGATTCCTGGCACCACTGGATATAGACTCTATAGGTCCTGAGAGGTTTCAGGAGCTCTACCCAGGAAGAACAAGATGATGAGAGGCAGACATTAAAATTGGGAGGCAGGGATACCAAAATCAACAGTAACAGGATCTAAACTGTGTGTGGTCCAGGAAGAAGATTGGAAGATGGAACCAAATTCAGAGAAGATGGGAGACTGGGAGTAGAGGTGGGAGGGTTGGGATCTGGTTAGGGTGATACAACAGGATCATTGATTGCGGGGTAGAGAATGGATGAACCCTATTCCAGTGAAGTTAGTCTTGGCAACTGATTGCTTTTGTTGAAGGGGAGTGAGCAATATGGCTTTAAATCTAAAGAGCTGAAAAGATTCTGTCGCCAGTTGAAAAAAAAAAGAAGGAAACTATGCCTTTCTGACTGGCTGGTCTTGGGAAAGGACTTCACACAAGCACATGTGACTCTCCCAATAGCCTCAGACACCAGCATCTCTGCCCAGCTCTCTGGCCTGTCCCCTTCTGCCTCGTAGGCTGCCTGTGCTGCCCTATCCGCTGTTCATCTGGTGCTCGATTGCAGGGAGGCCCAGACTGATTTGACCTACCCACTCCTTTCCAGAAAAAAATAAAACCACTCTGCACCTCCTTGGGTTTTTTGTTTTGTTTTGTTTGTTTTATAATCACAACTGGCGATGCTCAGGGGTTACTCCTGGCAGCTCTGTACCCAGGAGTCACTCCTGGCAATGCTCAGGGGGCCATATGGGATGCTTAAGACTGAATCCAGGTGGGCCATGTGGCAAAGCAAACACTTTACCCACTGTATTATCACTCCAACCCCACTCACCTCTTTGGAAATCTGGAAATCCACCTTCTTTAAGCAAACAAACAGAAAGTGCCCCTCAGTTGCACCCAGACTACCCTCACATATGTCCAGCAACATTTAGGACTATCATGCTAGGTCCTTGTCACTCCACTGTGCTGTCTCTGTCACCATTTTCTCCATCACAGCTAGGGGTACATCACTGTCTCTTACAACTTCACACTGGAAAGAGCAGGAAAAGTTATTTACACCGAGCTTCAGGTGTGTGTGTGTGTGTGTGTGTGTGTGTGTGTGTGTGTGTTTAAGCAATTAAAAAAAATCCACAACTGTTTATTTCTGGTCCCGCAACTTTCAGAGTTGTTTTTTTGTTTGTTTCTGGTCCTACAACTTTCAGGGCTGTTTTTTTGTTTGTTTCTGGTCCCACAACTTTTGGGGTTGTTTTTTGTTTGTTTCTGGTCTATGTTGTACAAAGGAGCAATGACTAATGAGGGGACCTGATGAGTCTTGTATATGCCCTTTCACAAAAGGAATCACTGCTCTATAATCGGCATAAAAAATATCAGAGAATAGTGTAAGAATTTTGCAGGGAAAATCTTAAAATGCATTCTATATCCTCCAACAGAAAGGAAGGTGTGTGTGTGTGCGTGTGTGCGTGTGTGTGTGTGTGTGCGTGTGTGTGTGTGTGTGAGGGAGGGAGAGAGAGAGAGAGAGAAAGAGAGAGAGAGAATGAGAGAGAGAGAACAGAGGAATAGGGAACATGTGGTGGGAGGTGGCATTTGGTCTCTGTAGTGTTGGGTCAGTTACCCAGCACTTGGTATAGAGGAGTTGGGGGAGTTGGGATGGAGCAGGGTCTGCCTAGAATGTCAAAAGGAGTCAGTAGTCACAGCTGGCAAAGCTGTGAGCTGGTTGGCTCAGCAGTATCATTGCCAAGAATCACCCTTTTAATGTCATTGCTGAATATCTGACCCTGTGGAGTGATACTTCATTGTCAACATCCCTTCTTTTTTAGTATTTGCTTTGGGGAACACTTGGCAATGCTCAGGGGTTACTCCTGTCCCTGCACTAAGGAATTACGCCTGGCGGGCTAAGGGACCATATGACCTGTGGGGGATCAAACCCGGGTCAGCTGCATCGGAGACAAGTGCCCTAATCGCTGTACTATCAATCTTTCTGGCCCCTGCGACATTCCTTTCTCAAAACCCACTTCTCTGAGACTGCTCCTTTTG